AAAGAATCGAAGAATTGCTAGAGACCAATTGAAGTATTCTCAGATTATTGGCTCGCTTATGTACTTAGCCAGTGCTACAAGACCTGACATCTCTTTTGCTGTTAGCAAACTGAGTCGGTTTGTTTCAAAACCAGGAGATGTGCATTGGAAAGCTCTAGAGAGAGTTTTGCGTTATTTGAAAGGCACTGCAAATTATGGAATTCACTACACCGGGCACCCAAAGGTGCTTGAAGGGTATAGTGACTCAAACTGGATCTCAGATGTTGATGAGATAAAGGCCACGAGCGATTATGTATTCACTCATGGAGGTGGCGCTATTTCTTGGAAGTCTTGCAAGTAGACCATCTTAACGAGGTTAACAATGGAAGCAGAACTCACAGCACTAGATACAGCTATGGTCTAAGCAGATTGGCTTCGTCGGCTCTTGAATGACTTACCGGTTGTTGAGAAACCTATACCGGGTATTCTTATGAACTGCGACAATCAAACTGTGATCACGAAAGTGAGCAGCTCAAAGGATAACATGAAGTCATCAAGACACGTTCAGAGAAGGTTAAAGTCTCTCAGAAAAATGAGAAACTCCGGAGTTATTGTATTGGATTATATCCAAACGTCTAAAAATCTGGCAGATCCTTTTACTAAGGGTCTATCACGTAATGTGATAGATAATGCATCGAGGGAGATGGGTATGAGACCCACAATATGAGTTGTTCACAGTGGTAATCTATTCTTTGTGATCGGAGATCCCGTGAATTAGATGTGGAAGAAAAGCTGTTGGTCAACTGGGAGGAGAGTACCCTTACTATTAAAATGCCACTCCATAAAGATGCAATACTCTTCTAATCTGCATGGCAGGTTGATGTATATCTTAATGTGTTCTAAGTGGCTCTTTGAAGCAGAGATGTTGTCCTGCAGAACATCTTTTGAAGAACGCACCTATATGAGTCTAATTGTTAAACGTCGCAATCTATGAGAGTAGGGTTCTCTCTAGTAAACTCATGAAAGGTCTCGGAGTATTACGCATAAGCTCCACCCGCGGGGAAGACCCACGGTAGCCACGTATCGGTCAAGGCTTTATGTGAAGCTAGATTCGCAGAAAACTTGCAGTTCAAGGCCCAGTCCACTGTTTAAGTTGCTTACTAGTGTAGCATAGAGTTCTAGGTGGAAGTTCAACTTAACAGTCTCCACTACAGTACCGGTATATAAAATAGTGTTTTGGAACCAAAGGCAAATTTCTGTGTGCCTCTGGGATCTGGTGGGGGATTGCTAGAATTTAGTCTATATTGGGGGCAGCCCAATAACTATTTTAAAAATTCCTAATAAATTCTAGAGGCCCACTTAGCCCATTTGTGCAAAGCAAGGGATACTACTAAAGTTTAGTCCCACATTGCTAGTTTAGTGGGAGTTGGACCTCCTTATAAGGGAGGTTCTTTCCCCACTTGTATGAGCATGAGAACAAGAGGGACATCCACGCGCGCTCCTCCTCCGCCGCCCGCCTCGCCACGCCTCGCCACGACGCGCGGCGCGGCGCCGCGGGTTGCGGGTTGCGGGAATGAGCCGAGCCGATGTCTAAATTTTTTCCACGCACTACAGGTATACGAAAGGTCACTTGGGAGCTAGAAAGTTTTTGCTGTAGTGGATATTGAATACGAACACTGCACCCTTCGGCTGTTGTCTGTTCGTTTCATCTCCCGCGTTCCCTTCAGCTCCCGGCGTAGCCTCTCGCCTCCTTCTCTTGCGACTATAAAAGGGAGGTCGCTCCTCTCAGGGAGATGCACCAGAACCTCTTCCTCCTCTCGCCACAAGTTCCTGAGCACTGCGCTGCTGCTACGATCTTCCCCATCACGGCTTGCGGCGTGCACCGCGGATCGGGACAGTAGGCCTCCGAAACCGCACCTTTTGAGTCCTGTACGGGAGAAGGGTGATAAGGTTTTTGGGGAGCGCTCTGCGCGACTACTGGCTGCTTCATCACGGACGATCCGGTCGCCGACGACTACTTCCCCGACGACAACTTCTTCCCCGACGTCCATGACCTCCTCGACGACATGGCAGACGAGGACACCGACCCCAAGTCCAGCACTTCTACTGCTGCTGTCCCGTACGTGTTCTCGCTCTTTCTGTTAGATGTCATGACACAGTTCTTTGCTCTACTTTCTGTCCTACATGTGTTAGGTTCTACTTCATATATGCAACTTCATCTAGTGTCTGTTCTAGATGTGTTTAGTTCAAGTTCATATATGCAGATGTTGTTTACCTTCTCTATGACAAATCGCATGGCTTGTTTTATCGCTACTATATTGGTCATGCTTTATCTAGTATTTCTGTTAACAAAATCATTCAGTAAATTGCTCATATTTCCAACACTCTTTGCCAGATTATCCTTAGTAAAAATCACCTCTCCTTGAACATACCAATTTAATTGTAATTGGAATCTTAATCTTCCAATTATGTTTTCTACGAAACAATGGTTCTATATTGATGAGGTCCTCATTTGTAGACTTAACTGTAAGAACATCATTAGCATTCCACCGTGATTTTAATATATCCGATGTTTGTGATAAGTCAACCAACATCAATCTGCACACCAAATAGAGCCACACTATCCTTAAGTTGACTTCCTCTAACCAGCACCTAGCCCAACCCCTATCACCGTTAATGGAGGAAAATTTATCCTCCTCGGCCACCCCGATTCTAAATATACTTGGTCGCCCACCCGCGGAGTAAAAGTTTTTGTCTCTCCCTTGCGCCCTCGCTGTCCCTACCCCATACCGCGGCGTCGTCAGCGTTGCTTCTGTTGATTACCAAGGACCTCCTCCGACACCCCACTGCTTCCGCCGTCCTCGTTGCCCCACTTTGAGCCAGTCGCCAGTCGCTACCGTCGGCAGAGCTAGCTCCATTGCCGCCTCGCAACATCGATCCCGCTGCCGCCGTTCGCTAGGCTTGTTGCCGAAGATGCTCCGCCTTGCAACTATGTTGTGAATGGCCGTGAGTATACAATGGGTCACATTTGTCAAGAGAAAAGATAATCCTGCGTCTGAAAGGTAACAAGAGATCTTATTTTGCAATGCATCAAGAGTCGACAAGGAAGGATGTGGAGAGAGTATTCGGTATGCTCCAGATGCGCTTTGGCATCATTCGCGGCCCTATCGAGTATTGAAACCCCAAGGACCTATGGCAAAGCATGACATGTTGCATCATCTTGCATAACATGATCAACCAAGATGGAAGATGCATGCCTGAGAACTTTTGGTACATCTCTAATTAGGATCATGTTGAGCCGGAGCATGATACAAGCAAGATACACAGATTCCTCGTAGCGCGTCGCAACATCGAGAACCGAGAAGTCCATACCCAACAACAAGAAGATCTTGTTAAGTATCAATGGCATCTCCATAGCACTTCGTAGTTGTGCTTTTATCATGCTCTTTACTTCATTTGAACCCTTTCATGTGTTTAAATTTAAATAATTCGATTTGTAAACTTTGAATTTGTAATATTTCTGAATTATATGAACAGTAATTATTATGTTTGGATTTAATATGTGTGTAAATATGTAGTTGAAATGTAGTTTGTACGCTAAAACAAGATTTGACAAAAGAAATAGGGAGTTAATTATTGGGGATCAATTACAAAGTCACTTGTGCTCCTCCGAAATATATTCGGACGTATCCTCCTATAAATTATAGGGGATCGGTTGAAGATGCTCTAAGAAATTAAATTGTACTGGATCGGCTAAAGATGTTGTAATGTACTCCCTTCATTTCTTTTTACTCCGCATATAAAATTTACTTGAAGTCAAATTAAACAATGTTTGACCCAATTTATCTTTAAAAAAATACCCGCATCTACAACACATGCAAATTTATTTTATGATGTACTTATCTAATGATAATGATTTTGTATTGTGAATGTTGGTATTTTTTTAATCAAGTTTGTCAAATTTATAAAATTGGACTTCTGACAAATTTTATATGTATAATTTTCTTCTTCTTATTATTTTTTTTTGCTAGCTCAACAGATGTTGGACCTCTGATAGGTTGGCAAGACGGGGACTTGATCACCAGGAAGCCTGCCCATTCTCCGATCAGGAGGAAGAGAGTATAAACCATATCCTTCTCCAGTGTGTTTTTGCGAGGGTAGTATGGATGCGTGTTTGCCTTGCTTTGGGCAAGCCGGAGTGGACGCCGACTAACCCATAGAGATTGGGTGACTGAAGCATGAACACGAGTGGGAACGCTAGAGGAAGCAGGGACATCCAAGCACTCTTCCTCCTGGTAATGTGGGAGCTATAGAAGTATCGAAATGGAATTGTGTTTCGTGAAGCTACTATGTCAATTGCGTATGTAATTGGGTGTGTCTAGGGCACATCTAGATATGCTCTAGTTATTGCACATCTAAGTGAGTGAATCAAGTATAAAGAGGAAAAGAAAAAATAAAAATAAAAATATTCACACGAATTTCAACGCAAGATCAATGACATAGGACTTGAATGTGCAATACTTAGATGTGCTTTAGCAAAACTGTATGTAATTCATAGAGTGACGTTAGAAAGAAGAGCATGGAAAGGGGCAGACCTACTCGAGGCGGACACGGACCGCTTCATAGCGGCCGCAGAGGCGGGCAGTGACGCGCAGATAGCATGGAGTTGGGGTTATGTACTCACACTATTGTAACCGCCAACATGGAGGGGTTCTCACTCCACAACCACTTCTTTAATACTATACAGTACACACACTCATGCATATTAGGAAAAAAAAATACAGCTCCATTGCGCAACATCATTTTCTTTGTGAGTTTTGGAGGAACCTGGTTTGGTTCTTGCTCCTGATCAGCTGAATCGTGATCACTGAAACATCCTTAGTTTTTCAGAGTTCATTGTACGTGTATTAACGAACCATGGAATTTGCAGTGCACCACTAGCTCTCACGTAAACGCACCGGGTCATACAGGTGGACAACCGTATACCAAATTTAAACCCGATCACGAGTGCCTGCGCAGTGCTACAGCGAGCAGATCACGCTGAACATGGCGAGCAGAGCCAGGTGGAAGCGGCGGAGGGCGGTTGGCCGTCCGCCGGCCCCGCTGAGCCTCCCGTACTCGGCCGCGAACGGCATGTCGTCCACGGGGAGCGAGCAGGCGGCCGGCCCCGCCACCGCCGCGACGCCCACGGCGGACGCCTCGTCCGCGGCCATCTGCGCCCGGATCACGGCCGTGGCCGCTGCGCCGTAGCGCGTGGCGTTGCGCTGCAGCAGCCACATGAGGCCCATGAGCTGGCAGTCCCGCTCGCTCGACGCGGCCGCCTGCAGCTTCCCCGACGCCGCAACCGCCGTCTCGCCGCCGCCGGATCCCGCCTTTATCTGCAAACATCCAAGTCTCTCATCAGCTGCCGTGCAACTGGATTGTCTACGTGAAATCCAAGATGAGCATTGCTTAAAGGTTCACTCTGCACTCCTACTTACTCCAGAGAACTAATGATTCTGCCTTAGCGGTGAAAGGACGACCGATTGAAATTTTCGGGCCCAGACGCAGTGGAAAAGGGATGCAGGCATGTTCTGCCCGAATCATTCTCCAGGCCCGGACTTGAGATCTGATCATTTCGTGCGGTGCCACTCGCGGCCAATAAATGGCGCGCACACCGAACCCTAGACCAGCAAAGATGGGGCCAGATTGTGTGGTTGGTGTCCATGAATGAGCACCATGGCTTCCATTTAACGCCTTGTCTAAAATCTTAGCTGACCGTACTGCAATCATGCCTAGTGGCCTCTGTGTCTGTGCACACAGTACGCTAATAGTATGCGATGGAATGATCAAGTTGCTCAGGGAGTGTGCTCTACGCTTCACTTCAGCACTGCGCGCATTTGCAGCTTTGCAGATCAAGATTGCAATATGAGCAGTCGTAAGGCGCCATTAACAGTTAAAATGGTTCTGTTTACGGGGCTTGTTGCAGAGTACTAGGTTGACAGACATTGCTGCATTTGATCTCACCGTGGAAAGAGCACGGAGGCACTTGGAGCAGCCGGGGACGCCGGGCCGCGCGCAGTCCCTCTTCAGCCTCCTCGCCGCCGATTCCGCCGGGACCCACTGGCCGGCACCCGTCGGCTGGGCCCCGCACGTCAGCCGCCGCAGCCTCACCCCGCAGTAGCAGAAGGCCACGTCGCACGTCCCGTTGGCGCCCGGCGGGCGCGGCAGCGCCGCCCCCTCGGACCGCAGCGCGCGGTCCGCGGCGCCCGCGCACGCCTCCGAGTCGTCCGGAGGCACCGGCATGTCCACGGGCGCCGCCGACGCCGGTCGCGCCGGCCTCGCCGCGAGCGCGGTGGGCGCGTAGGCGGCGAACAGCCACGCGGCCAGCGCGGGGCAGCACCGCAGCCTCGAGGGCAGCGCCCCGTCTGCGTCGCAGGAGGAGAGCACGGCCGGGAGGAGCCGCGGGGAGGGGTCGAGCGGGCACGTGGAGGAGGCCCCGGAGACGGCGTCCGACTGCTCCGGGAACGCCGGGATCGTGGCGGAGCCGGGCTGCGCCGGCGTGGCCGAGGGCATGAACAGGCCCGCCGGGTCGAGCGGCGCCGGATCCGGCAATGCCGAGGCGGCGCAGTGGGCCGGCGAGAGCAGCAAGAACCCGGCGGCCGCCGCCGCGTAGAGGAGGAGGAGAGAGCGGTGAAGCGGATGCATCTCTCACTCTCACGGCGCGCGTGCGCAGGTTCACGCGCGCGGTGGTTTCCTTGGTTGGCTTGAGAGAGTGGCAGCTGCAGTGGCCGAGTGAGAGCGTGGCGGGTGATCACTGAGCGATCGATCGATCGGAGATGGGAGGGGACTATATGGGTGGCATGATGAGGGGGCGCTTTGCGCAACTTTGCTGTTTTTGGCGCCAGAGGATGCATGATGGGATGGTTCTTATAATGGCCTTCTTGTAGATGAGGTGAGGGGAAACCAACTGCAGCCTTTCGCAAAGCTCCTTTTATCTACGGCTTATTTGAGCATTTTACAGTGAGGTGGTTCTTTTTGTTTTGTCAAACAAGGTCATTCATGCTGTGTTTAGAGCAAATGTTGTTTTTCGTTGGGGCCCTGACCCCTTGTAATCTTCATTTTATTCTCGTCTATGTGACTCCCTGAATGTTGTTATCTCTCCCTTTGCTAATATAAGTTCAGACTCGCATAAGCCCGCCGTTGTTCCTATAAAAAAAACACTATAAATAGAAGTCGTGCTGAGAGTCACTCCAACGCGCCACCCACTGTCCATTTAGGCCGGCCAAGTGGACGAGTGTGTCCACTTTTTCGTTTGAATCGGCCAGTGTGACTAACGGGTGGCCGACGCATTTTCCCGCGTTCAAAAAAACATGCAACCGAAATAAACATAATTAAATATTAACAGCCGGTCAATCGTGGACCAAAGTCCACTTAAGCGTTAAATAAAACTTTAAAAAACTAGAAACGCGCCCGCACGCTGCCCTAGGCCTTGTCGTTGTCGTCGCCGCCGGTGAGGTCGATGAAGGGTGGCAGCGGCCTAGCCCACGGGAATGCACTCTCCCACGCCGCTTGCCCCACCTCCTCTGGCGTCTGCTCCGGCGGCGGCACTGCTGCGCCGCGGGCGTGCTCCACCTCCTCCTCCTTCTCGCGCTCCCACTGCATCTGGTACTCGCCGTTGGCCCGCTCCTCCGCCAGGCAATGCTGCTTCCATCGCTTCAGGTGGGCCGCCTCCTTCTCTGGCGTCGCTTCCATGTGGACGGGTGGCACGCTCACCCACTCGCGGACGACGCCGGTCCACGTGCACGTCTCCTCGGGCCAAGCGGGCAACGACGGCGTGCGCGTAGGCATGGGCGTGTGACGTCATGCTCCATCGCGAACCGGGCCCCCCAGTTGACTAAGTCCGGCGCATAGGCTGGGAGACGTCGCTGCTCCGGTGTAAGGAGGGCGCGGCGTTGGTGCACCTACTCAGCGTGCGCCTGCAGCGCCCGTGACACCATCGGCACGGGGATGCGACGCGGATTCAGATGCCAGCCATGGAGCGGGTTGACATTCGGATACGATAGAAGTTGGCGGTACTACCAGTGTCAGAGCGCTTGGTGCACCGGTATGTGGATCCTATCCCATGGCCTGCCGCGTGACGAGCTGGCGCCGACGTGGAGCTTCCCCTTACCCTTCCCAAAGAAACCCATGGCTAGGGTTCTGCTGTCGTCGGCGAGGGGGACAAGCTTGGCCAGATGTGAACGGGGGAGGGTAAGTGGATGAGCCCCCTTCCCCCCACGCACACATGCTTGCATTAGAAAGGATGAGCTCGTCGGGCTTCCACCCACTGCCAAGCGGGCCCGAGGTAGGTGGTGTTGGAGATATGCCCTAGAGGCAATCATGTATGATGATATTTCCTATGTGTTTATGAATAAAGATAGTCCTTGGACATTATCAATGATGTGTATCAACAAGTACGTGACTTGTTTGTGGGACTATGTATTGTATGATGACTGTTCTAAAAGGTCCCTAGTCGAAAGGGCTGTGTGGACGCGCAGCCAACTAGACTAGCATATGACACGGTCGATGGCTTGGTCTCACTAGCCATGGAGCATTGGATGCTAACCGGATAATATGGACTTGGAAGGATCTGGTCAGATTCGACGTAGTCGGATCCGAGTCGAGATAAGGTCCAAGTCGGACAGACCCAACTATGAGACGCAGCGATATATATGTCATCTGTGAGTCTCTAGTATAACATATGTTCTATGTCCTAAGACCAGAGCTGACGCATGTACTCGGGATGGTGACAGACTTGCTTTGGGCCGACCAAACGCTACTTCGTAACTGGGTAGTTATAAAGGTAGGTTTCGGGTTTGTCCAGAACCATGCTGCGAGACGTGGTCAAGCAAGATGGGATTTGCCCCTCCGATCAGGAGAGATATACTCTGGACCCCTCGTGTGATCTGACCAGGATAAGCATGGCCATGCGACAAGGATTATGAGATAATCCGGTTTGTGGTCGGCATCACTGGAACGAGAAAGAGGTCGGGCTAGCACAAGGATGACAGACTCGCCTTGAGCTCGACAACATATATCGTGTGGCAAAAGGAATGGAAGTGTGATGTACAAGTTCGCTAACCAGCTTCATAGTCTGCTTGGTGTTCGGCATGCCTTGCTAGAGGCCGCTACCAACCGTGCAGTTCGGAGGTGATCCGAACTGCGACCAACCCGACTTGGACCTAAGGGGTCGCGCGCTTAAGGGAAGGAACCTACGAGGTCGGATCCGAGGACACTTGTCGGATGTGCTCCGAACTGTATTCGGACTGTGGCCGAGTAGACTTATGGGCTTTAGGGTCCGTGCGAGGCCCAAGTGTTGAGCCCGTGACGGACACCTATATATATAGTGGAGGTGCGGCACACTCATGGGCTGATCGCTTCGGTGCTGTCACTAGGGTGTGCATGTGTTGCGAATAGACACCTTCACTCGCCGCCGATTGTGTGATCGGACCTAGCAGTCCGTCGCACGACGTTCCTCCTGCACGCGCGGATACCGTTAGTGTTGGGGAACGTAGCAGAATTTTAAAATTTTCTACGCATCACCAAGATCAATCTATGGAGTCATCTAGCAACGAGGGAGAGGGGAGTGCATCTACATACCCTTGTAGATCGCGAGCGGAAGCGTTCAAGAGAATGGGGTTGATGGAGTCGTACTCGTCGTGATCCAAATCACCGATGACCTAGTGCCGAAGGGACGGCATCTCCGCGTTCAACACACGTACGGTTTGGAAGACGTATCCTCCTTTTTGATCCAGCAAGGGGAAGGAGAGGTTGATGGAGATTCAGCAGCACGACGGCGTGGTGGTGGAAGCAGCGGTGATCTCGGCAGGGCTTCGCCAAGCTCCAACGAGAGAGAGAGAGGTGTTACAAGGGGAGAGGGAGGGGCCAGGGACTTGGTGCGGCTGCCCTCCCTCCCCCCACTATATATAGGGCCCCTAGGGGGGGCGCCGGCCCTAGGAGATGGGATCTCCAAGGGAGGCGTCCAAGGGGGGGCTTGCCCCCCAAGCCAAGTGGGGCGCCCCCATCCCTAGGGTTTCCAACCCTAGGCGCAGCGGGAGGCCCATGGGGGGCGCACCAGCCCACCAGGGGCTGGTTCCCCCTCCCACTTCATCCCATGGGGCCCTCCGGGATAGGTGGCCCCACCCGGTGGACCCCCGAGACCCTTCCGGTGGTCCCGGTACAATACCGATTACCCCCGAAACCTTCCCGATGGCCGAAACTTGACTTCCTATATATAAATCTTCACCTCCAGACCATTCCGGAACTCCTCGTGACGTCCGGGATCTCATCCGGGACTCCGAACAACTTTCGGGTTACCGCATACTAATATCTCTATAACCCTAGCGTCACCGAACGTTAAGTGTGTAGACCCTACGGGTTTGGGAGACATGCAGACATGACCGAGACAACTCTCCGGTCAATAACCAACAGCGGGATCTGGATTCCCATGTTGGCTCCCACATGTTCCACGATGATCTCATCAGATGAACCACGATGTCAAGGATTCAATCAATCCCGTATTCAATTCCCTTTGTCAACTGGTACGTTACTTGCCCGAGATTCGATCGTCGGTATCCCAATACCTCGTTCCATCTCGTTACCGACAAGTCACTTTACTCGTACCGTAATGCATGATGCCATGACCAAACACTTGGTCACATTGAGCTCATTATGATGATGCATTACCGAGTGGGCCCAGAGATACCTCTCCGTCATACGGAGTGACAAATTCCAGTCTCGATCTGTGTCAACCCAACAGATACTTTCGGGGATACCTGTAGTATACCTTTATATATAGTCACCTAGTTACATTGTGACATTTGGTATACCCAAAGCACTCCTACGACATCCGGGAGTTACACGATCTCATGGTCTAAGGAAATGATACTTGACATTAGAAAAGCTCTAGCAGACGAACTACACGATCTTTAGCTATGCTTAAGATTGGGTCTTGTCCATCACATCATTCTTCTAATGATGTGATCCCGTTATCAATGACATCTAATGTCCATAGTCAGGAAACCATGACTATCTGTTGATCAACGAGCTAGTCAACTAGAGGTTAACTAGGGACATGTTGTGGTCTATATATTCACACATGTATTACGATTTCCGGATAACACAATTATAGCATGAACAATAGACAATTATCATGAACAAGGAAATATAATAATAACCATTTTATTATTGCCTTTAGGGCATATTTCCAACAGTCTCCCACTTGCACTAGAGTCAATAATCTAGTTACATTGTGATGAATCGAACACCCATAGAGTTCTGGTGTTGATCATGTTTTGCTCGAGGAAGAGGTTTAGTCAACGGATCTGCGACATTCAAGTCCGTATGCACTTTGCAAATATCTATGTCTCCATTTTGAACATTTTCACGAATGGAGTTGAAGCGACGCTTGATATGCCTGGTCTTCCTGTGAAACCTGGGCTCCTTGGCAAGGGCAATAGCTCTAGTGTTGTCACAGAAGAGAGTCATCGGGCCCGACGCATTGCTTGAAACTACACCAGCTTATTGCCCCACCATTCAAAATATACACGTATCCGGTTTGTAACTTAGAGTCATCCAGATCTGTGTCGAAGCTAGCATCGACGTAACCCTTTAGGATGAGCTCTTCGTCACCTCCATACACGAGAAACATATCCTTAGTCCTTTTC